GTTTCGTTTTGTGGAGGGCGTTTGGCACGAATAACTTCACCGGCCCTTTACCACCCGAGCTCGGAAATTTATCTAGACTTACACAAATGTAAGATATTGTGTGTCGATTATGAATTTAAACAAAATATTTTTTTTTCCTACTATATTTTTTCAATTTTTTTTTTTAGGTACATTATTAGTTCTGGAATCAGTGGACCAATACCAGCAACATTTGTGAGTCTAAGGAGTATGGAGAGAATGTAAGAAATCAATAAAATTTCTCCTTATTTTCAGAAAAAAAAAAAGGAACGAATGAAAAACTACTTTAATTTACTCATATTCAACAAACTGTTAGGTAAGTCTAATGGTTAGACAATCGTACTTTTTTTTTTTACTGATTCGCATACTTTTATATATTGACATGTTATATTGTAAAAAAAAAATACATGAAATTTTATATTGTAAGTATACATTTTTGTCGAAAAAATATGATAGGTCGACACGCCTAACGGTAGACGAGACTGTCACAATTTTTTTATTGAACAATAATGTGCCTAATGGATGAATGTTATTGTTCTTTAGGTGGGCCTCAGACACCGAGCTGACGGGCCGGATACCCGACTTCATTGGGAATTGGTCCAATCTAGTTCAATTGTGAGGCTTTTTCATGATCATGAAAGTTTAAATATTTTTCTATTTGGGTATTTAGAAAATTATGCTACTATATAAATGTAGAGTGTTTTAAATAATTTAATTAGCAGAATTCGATTAATAAATAGGAGTCTCGTATCTTTCAAAATTGATACCATAGAATTTAATTTTTCCTAAAATTGATAATTTTTTACAGCTTATGTGACTATACTGTTGGTTAAATTATATTTCAACAAGACTAATTTTTGAAATACTTCCAACTATTTCTCTTATTTTTTATAGTCATTTTTTGGATTTTTTTTTAATTATTTTCTCAATATTTATTTTTTGTACTAATTTCATTATGCTCTTGTGTGTAGGAGGTTTCAGGGCAATTCATTCCAAGGTCCCATACCCCAATCGTTTTCCAATTTAACCGCTCTCAACGACTTGTACGTGTTTTGTTATAGAGAAATGCTATAGTCCTGTTACGGATTCTGTCGGAGTTTATAACCGTTAGATTATCATGTAATCGTCGGGAACAGTTGATCTAATGGTTACAAATTCTGACGGAGTGGTTCTGTAACCGGACCGTAGCATTTCCCTTTGTTATATCCATTTCTTCACTCTTTGTATTTTAAGATTACTATTTTCTTATTTAAATTGGTTTTTTTTTTCCTTTTTTGCTCGTAATCACTTTGCCAATTAATTATTATTATTATTATTATTATTATTAATATTATTATTATTATTATTATTATTATTATTATTATTATTATTATTATTATTATATTATTATTATTATTATTATTATTATTATTATTCACATTGTGATATGGTTAATTAGGAGAATAAGTGGTGTAACAAATGGAGGCTCTTCATTGGACTTCCTCATAGGCTTGACTTCTCTATCTACCTTGTAAGAACCCATAAATTCAGAAAATAACATTTTTAATGCCAAAAAAACTTATTATTATAACCATTAATAAAATTATTATTATTATTATTGCTATTATTTTTTTTTTTGTTTTTTAATTGTGTGCAGAATTTTGGGAAACAATAATATCTCCGGTTCTATACCTTCATTTTTCGGTTCATTTCAGAGCATGACACTACTGTAAGTATCATCAACATTACAGTCCCGTTACGGAACTATTCCGCCGGGATTTATAACCATTAAATGATCATGTAACTGTCGTGCATAGTTGATCTAACGGTTACAAATCCCGACAGAATGGTTTCGTATCGGGACTGTATAATCCCCTTGATATATATGTACAATAATGAATGGCTTTGAGTAACATATATGTTAACAGGGATTTGAGCTTCAACAATTTGACAGGAAGAGTTCCAGACTCACTTCTCAACCATAACTCTCTAACTCACTTGTAATGTACAATCTCTAGTTATTTACTTATGTGAGTTATATAGTACTTCATTTATTCAATTTCATTGATTTTTTTTTTTTTTTTTTTTTTTTTTTTTTTTTT